CAAATATATATATATCTTAGGGTCAAGTAGTGTATATGCTCCAAACACTATTTCTGCATTGTAGATGAAATATATTTTAAGTTATGAATTTAAACCAATTTAATGTGATACTCTTAGAATAAGCAAATATTTAGATAGAAAAATTAATGAAAAAACATCTAAATAAATTAATCTTGTAGAAGAAAACAAAATATATATTACTGAAGGTTAAGATTCCATTTAGGTTTCTGATACAATTCAAACCTTGAATGTCATTATTTATTTTAAGTGTTATTCTAATAAAAAGGTTCATACAGTAATAAATAAATGTAACAATTGCTTAAAATAATAAATAACTCTTGACCGCAATTGCCATGGTTCAATGAACATCATTTATTTTTATATGCGATTTACATCATAATCAGATTTTAAAGAATTAGCAATTACAACTACTACTAATGGTTTCTCATTTGATTAAAAACTTAGAAATTATGACGTTTAAACGAAAAATGTCTTAAATATCTAAATGTAAGATATCTGAAGATTTATAAATTGAAAAATATCATTAGATTTTAACAATATAAAATACAATCTTTTTATTATGTTAAAAAAAAAGCTTTAGTATTTTACTAAATAAAACTATGCATTTTCATTAATTTGTTTCTCTTAAAATTATTCTTTTTGGCTTTTTTTTTTTTAATAAACTTTGTACTAAAGATTTTAAATTACTCAATAATATTTGGTTTGGAAAATTTAGAAGTTGAGTTAGTCAAAATTCAAAAGTTACTTTATCTTTTATTATTTAAACTCTAAATTTCTTATTTTGATAAGAACTAATATATTATTAATTTTATGGTTAAAGATTGATTATATGGATAATAAAGATATAAAATGATAAAACAATTCCCATATATTGTTTATAAGGTTTGAATATATTCTCTTAAATGAACTTGATTTTAATCTTATATATTATAAATAGTCATTCAGGTTAAATTTAAATATTGACTGTTATTGGGATAATTTCAATAAGCTATATATTAAGATAATTCTAGTAATTAACATAAAATTCATTCTATTTATATTTTTATGTATTATAGAACTCTCAATAACAAATTAAGGTAATCTTTGATTGCACATTGATACAAGGGCTAGTCCAAGCAATATTAATATTTTTTTTTAATCAAATATTTATTATACTAAAAAAAATCTAATTTATAAATATTTTCCAGTTTAAAAATAATAATGCAGCATATAAATATTTTGTTTAAATCTTAAATTAAAAAATTACATGATTACAATTTTTATGTTCAACATTTTCGTTAGATTCTTTTTATTTTTTAGGACCTAAACACAATTACAAAAAATTAATTTTAATGATTTTGTAAGTAATTTACAAACTATGTCATCGAATGAAGAATCATTGAAAGAGGTTCATGAATTACCAGAAAAATTATCTTTCATTAAAAGTATTCAATAACTATCTTCATAATTATATTTAATTAAGCATCTTAATAGAATTAAATAATTTATATAAATTAATGAACTCAAAAATATTTATAATTCTTTGTTTTCTGATTATTTTGTTTATCATTAATTCCTGAGAATAAAATCATTTTTATATTATAAGATTGAGATATCAAAGATTGTTATAAAGGATTAATAATAAAATCTTATAATTAAACACTTAAAAGTACTATCTTCATTAGTAATAAAATTAGAACTAAAAAATTTAATTTAATAAAGAGCTTCTAAAATTTATCGAATTGAAAAACCAAATTAATTTTAATTTACTCTGAATCAGTGTCAGATAAATAAGGTAGAAGAATAAGAATATATTCTTAGTTTCTATAATAAGGCAATATTTATTTTAATCAAATATTTAGTGGCAAAAGTTTTGTCTATGATTTCTATTAGTACTTTTGGTTCAGAGTTTTTAATTTGTAATCAGTATGCATACCAACATTATTCAAAATCAGAATTACAGTATTTAAATTTGAAAACAAAAAGGATCAAACATTCAAATTTTTTCTTAGTAATTTTTTAAATAAGATCTAATTAAATGATCTAGTTTAGATATACACTAAACTTATCATAAGTAGTTATTATCAAAAATGCTACTTAAGAAATCTTAATTACCAATATTTTTAAGGCTAAACCATTTTTTGAACTTTATTAATTAAATTTTGCCTTTTTTATTAAGAATTTAATTGAGAAGGGTACCTAGATTTAAAAAACTATTTTTAGAAGGAGACACGTCTCCAAAGATTTCTGTTTTCCAGATAACTAAAACATATCTATCTCTTATTTACAGTTAAATAAAATTAACTTTCCTACTTGCCATCAGTACACTATGTTATTCACTGTATATCTTTCTAAATCTTCATTGCACCTTTTATGGTTTAATAAATATATTGGCTGATCTTCACAACTTTAAACTTCCTAAAAATCTCTTATTTCAATAGATTTTCTACCCTTAGAATGAAGCATTTGAACAATCATCTTTATTGTATAAAAAGCAACCTTAAAATTAGGTGAGCTTTATGATTTCTTTTGATAAAAAACTATAATAGAAATTGGGGTAGGTTGAAATTCATCATCAAAAGTAAAAGACATAACTTGATTATTTATAATCCTTATTATTTAAAAATAAATAGTTATTGTTATTAAGTTAAAATGATTTCAAAATAATATCACTTTCTTATCACTAGCTCTTAAACTGAAACTATTATAATATCATTAACTCTAGTTGAAATCTCTGATCTAACACAGGCTATATAAAGAGATAAAAAAATCATAAAAATCACAATAATATAGCAGTCAAAGATTAAAAATAGGCCAAATTATATTCCAATTAAAAAGGAGTGAAAATTTTTAATTGTTGTTCCTCTCCCTGCTTCCCTACAATATAATACTAGCATAAAAAGATTGTTTGAATTACTATTTTCTTCTTCCATACTATTTCCTTCTTGTCTATTATTTTCTACTTCCCTACTATTTCCTTCCTCCCTACCATTTCCTTCACCCCTATCATCATGTCTTTCTAATATGCAAAATCTGCCATTACTATGGCTGGTAGCGTATAAAGAAGGTTGTTTAAATATTCCCAATGCAAATTATAACATAAAACTAATTATACAACCGAAAACACCTCCAAATCCTAACCATAATTATCCTCCAACTGCAATTTGATTTTCTTGTAATCTATTCTCTGTGCATTTACAACAAGAAAAATAATTTGCTAATAACAATATTAATCCGTAAAATTGATGATAATACTAAAATAAGCATTTCATATCCAATTAAATCATCACTAAATGATGATAACATAGTAAATAATGTAAATAAAATATCCATCACTTTTTACGCTAGTACATAGTTCTAATTCTTTATGAACTCTATTTATATGCTCTAATATATCATAAAATTAATTTTAAACTTAATCTAACTTTCAAAATTCTATGTATTTTAACAAGAGATTCAATTCACAATTAGTATTTTATTATACTCTAAAATTTATATTATAATATATTATTTATTTACTAAAGTTCTGACTAGTTATTTAAATTAATTGATAACATAGTTTATTTTCACATAATTTAATAGCGGATGAGAAAGATAATAATTTAATCGGATGAAGTTTAATTTATACAGATTACATCTTATTAAAAGTAAATGGTTTAATAGAAATATTCATTTTTATTGAGGGATTAGAAAAATTTTATCTTGTAAAATGATTTAAATATTTTCATACTAATAATGTGGCTAAGTTTTAGTATTGATGGCCGTTAGAAGCATAGTTTTGAGTATTTTTTATAAATAAGAAGTTCTTATCATTATTTAATAAATTTCTTTTTTCATTACAAACTATTTCATATGGTATTGGTATGAAGGGAGAAGATTTGACAAGATCTAGAATTGAAATCAAATATAAGCCCTCTTCATCAGTAAGTTCTCATTAATTAGCCAATTTATCCAATAATCCTGTTGAGGAAGGTTAAGGAAAAATATAGGCATTGAGAAAAAATACCTATTATTGATAATGCTCTTATGCTCTTTAGATTTAATATGATGGTTTTATATAATTTGAAAGTTTCTTCGTATTTTTATATACATTATTAATAGGGACCCTATTGAGATTAGTTATTATTTAAACTAATCTTTGTTTTTGAATTCTATATAATTTTTTGAATTCAATTGGATTGATTTTTCGATAAATTGGAAAGCTTCAGAATAATTCTTGAGTTCAACTAAAATGAAAAATCCATTAAATTGTAATAATGTTAATCTTATAATATAAAGATTACAATAATCAATACAGTTATTGTTATAAGTTGAATCATTTAATAGATTAAATTAAATAACTTTATCGAAAAATTCGATTGCTTCTTAAAAAACTTTCCAAATGAATTAAAGAGGTCCCTAATATTTTTAAAAGCTAAAACGCATCTTTGTTGTTGAAGGCTGTATCATTCTTTAAATTTAATTATTTAGACTTATCATAGCATTAAATAGATAATTCAAATCTTTTAATATTTTTTAAAGTCAATCCTATTTAGAAATCTACACATTATCAATACCTTTATCATATAATCAAATGGCTACTTAAAATCTTTCTAAATAAATTAATAAAATAATATTAATAAATATGAACAGTTTATAAATAAATTTAAATTATGTTACGAATCAAAAAACTAAAAAACCAATTTAAGCAAAGACCTATCCAATTTGACATGGTAATCTCTTCTTTGATGGATATATTGTCTATAATAAAAAGATACGACTAAAAATGTTTAAATGATAATTTTCATCTATTAACTCTAAGGCTACTTTTTAATTGATCAATTCATAGTTGTAAGGAATCTTACATTACTTTTCGTTCTTAAATACAATTCATTTTATTTCTTATTACTTTAATATAACTTAAGAATGTTAAAAATTCATGAAGTGTAGATAAATATTCATTTATGATTTTCTAACCAGCACAATAACTTTCATTTTTCAAAAAACTATTATAACATATAGCAAACACTAATACATATTCTTTA